GATTAGCAGTAATCCTGAGTCCATAGAAGTTAGGCTTCTATTGGGACTAGGTTTATGTTGGCTTTAAAAGAGAGGCACCCTCATGGGTCTAAGGGATGCTTTTTGATACTCAAGCTTGTGAGTTTAGTACTTGGTTTATCTTTGAGAGATATACTGACTTGATCGTCGGAGTGCCCCCGGGTGGTCGAAACCACCGCGGGATTCTTATATTTCTGTTGCAGGTCAGTCAGGTGCCATCTATTCTGCCAGTGCTCTCCAGCTGGTTACTAAGCGGGCAGTATGGTCGAAAAATCACCCACACAATTTGGCACCGTCTGTGGGAAAGAAAGAAGAATAGATGGCCAATGACGGACAAAAGAATCAAACTGGAGACAACGCTTCTACTGAGAATGGGAGATCTATCAACCTCGATGTTGAAGGGGACAATAGCAACACAGAAACTCGTGACCAGAGTTACGGAGTGAAAGAAGCCGGCCAGGAAGATGACACACCAAAGACAACATATCGAAGCAACAAAGACGACCTCCAGGTATGGAAGGTTAGATACCTGCGGAGGAACGAAGACCCTTCCAGAAGAGATGCAAAGAAAGGGGGCATGAGCACTCCCAAGGAGATAACATTCAAGTATAGAAGAACTCATCCTGAGTGAGCAGATCCCGGATTCCAGATCATGGATCCCGGATCCGAGAAGACATGATCTCATCCAATTATTACAAACCAAATAATTAACTATGCTAAGCTAATTAATATTACAAACCAAATTGAAACAAATAGCTATGCTAAGCTAATTAAAATAGTACAACACAAATTGAATAATCAACTACACTAAGCTAATTAAAGCAATAAAGTGGCCTCGCGGGCGAGGATATATGCATGCTCGGTTGGCTTCCGCTTGGAAATCCATTGCTTTGCCGTCGGTTTTCTCTGTGTACACTTGCCGTAGTCTCTGAACATTAAATCAATCTCCATACTGCTTCTGCTCCAAAACAGGATCATTTCTGCACAAAAATGGACTAGTGGTTGGTCGGCCACAAAAAGTGGCTGCCGGCCACCTTAACTGGCCGGTCGGCTAGTATAAGTGCCGGTCGGCTACCTCAAGTGGCTGGTTGGCCACCTGCTTTTCCAGGCTTCTGGTTTTGCTGCAACAGAGAACAACAGAGGCACAACAATATATTTGCAAGGAAATGTATGCACTACCACTCTCCTCATCATTTCTCAAGCTCAAAGGAGTGTGGTACTTGGCTCTCAAGCCACCAACCAAGTATCTCAATGCATGATGGCCAAAAAACCAAGCTTGCACAAGCTTAGTGAATGCACAAACAATACACAAAGAGCCTCCATCCTATCATGCATGATCAAGGGTGATAGCGACCAAGAAATACGACACGTTTCATTACTTTGAGTATGAAACATTACAACAAAACTAACTATTTACGGCTTTAAGTTTACGACATACATCAAATGCATGTCGTAGTTAGTACATTCTACGACATTTTTTTTTGGCAAGCCGTTAATATCTTTTCAATAACGACATACATAACATGTAAGTCATTAATTCATATATTTATGACATACAAAAATATGCCGTAAAAATTGTAAATTTTCACGACTTAAAAAATATGTCGTAAAATATTTGCATTTAAGACGACATACATTTCATGTTGTAAAATATTATAACTTCACAAGGCATGCATTAACATGTCGTGAAAACTTCTTTAAAAAAAAAAATATTCAATCAGATTTTTTTTATGGCATCCATAAGCATGCCGTAAAAAATACATATTTTCACGGCATACAAAAATATATTGTAAAATATTTGCACTTAAGACGACATACATTTCATGTCATGAAATATTATAACTTTATACGGCATGCGTTAAAATGTCGTGAAAACTTTTATTAAAAAAAATTTCAATCTAATATTTTTTTTATTTATTTAAAAAAGCTAATAATTTCCAACCAAGTTTCTCTCCTTAAATTTTTTTAATTGAGGACAAGATAAAAAATAATTTATACATTATTTTATAATTTAGTGTCTTTTAATAATTTATTTGTTTTTTACTTTTTAGATATGCCTAATTTGGATACAACTAAAAAGTAAAATATTTATAAAAAAATATAATATGTATCAAATGTATTAAATTTTATATATATTTTTTTTAATTTAGTGATTTTTTTAAAAAAATTAAAAAATAATTTTCTTCCAAGTATATGTAAATTATCTGAATTTAAAAAATAAAAAAATTATCTAAAATATTTAAAAACTTACAATAACAAAAACAAAAAAAAAAAAACTCAAAAACATTATTTTAAGCCTTGTTCACCCTCTCCCTCCCATTCTATCTGTACATGTTTTTCTCCATACCCTCTCTCTCTCTCTCTCTCTCTCTCTCTCCGCATGCGATCTCTCAACCTCTCTTTGAGCATTGCCTTGATAGATCGCGTGACTTCGCATGGCTTCATGTTAGAATTTACCACTCACCTACTACCTCCACTATCTTTCTCCACACCTACCACCTCCACTATCACACACTCCACTACCATCTTCTCCTCTATATATAGGAGTTGTAATATACAGAATATATCAATCTTGTAATATATCAATCATCAATACATATTTCATTCTCTCTATTTTTCCATACATCAAATTTAACACTTCACAATGTATGTCATTCACTTTCTCTCCCAATCGATCAATTTTTCTGTCTCTTGATCATTTTTTTTCCCAAAAGCTTTGAATTCATCAATTTATTTGAAGTTAGGGTTCAGTGAGAGCCATGGAAATGTAGACTACGAAGCCAAATGCATTCTCAATCAATTGATCTCAAACCCTAATTGATCTCTACACACTCCTCTGTATCGAACGATTCGACCTCTGTGCAGTCTCCTCTCTGATCGCGAACTTGAACCGGTTGAAGTAATTCATCGATGATTGCAAGTCCAATCCCTCAATCCTCTCCGATCTTTCTCTCTTTTTCTTCCGAGATTACCTTGAAAGGTATGATATAATTCACTTTCGTGTAGCTTGATTCAGAATTTTGATATTTTGTAACATGTTTTATCTTATCAATGCTGAATTTTGCAGATAAGAGACTGTTCTATCGAGGTCATGGAAGAAAACCGTGATGCTTCGAAGGAGGCTAAGGTGCAGGGTATGGGAGCAATTTCTGAAAGCATTCTAATTTCATTACATGTAAATACACACACGTGTATATATTGTAAACACATGTTTTCATATTTGATTTTGATGGTTTTGGGTTGATTAGGGAAACTGGAGGAAGCAATAGAACAGCTCACACAGGCTATTTTGCTCAATCCAACCTCAGCAATTATGTATTCAGGTTCTTTCATCGCGATCGTTTCAGCCGAAGTCTTCTTCGAAGAATGTTATCACGGTACCTTCTCTCTCTCTAGCTCTTATTTTTTGATTCTTACTTGTTGATTTTCGCTTGCATTTCGAGATTCCTATGGTTTTTGGTGGTTTAGTGGAGTGAATTGATGTTGAATTTGATCTTCCTCACCGAGATTCCTATGATTTTTCTATTCAATTTTTAATTTGTTGTTAAATTGTTTAATTTGTTCCAGTGAGCCTTATTGTGTTGATGTGTACATTCTTTATCCTTTTTAGTTTTTTAATTTTGTGTATTTACACTTACTTTTCTACTGATGCAGTGATGCACGAGAAAGAGTAGCATTACTTCTGATATCCATTGTCAGTATTAAGTGGATGACCATTATTCTCTCTCACTCTCTGTTTTTCTTTGTTCTTCAAAATGTGTAGGTAACAATAGATCAAAATTCAAGTAGTTTAAAAATTTATCTTTCAAACGGATCTTCTTTGGGAGGGTTTTTTTTCCCTTCCTGATGTGCTAATGGAGCTCTCCTTTCTGCTTTGTTCTCTGGCTGCTTGTGAGCTTTGTTGCCTTTGTTCCCAAAAAAGATTATCATTGAAATCATGTTTCATGAAAAAATCCCGGTTTGAAAAATAAGTTTAAAAATTTGCTGGACTTTCGAAATTTATTTTAAAATAACCTGTATTTTAAAATAACACCTTCCTTCCTTCCTTTCTTCCCATTTGGAAGTTGATTGAATGAATCTTATTTTGACATTGTTTCTTGTTGTTGCATACCATGGATAAATTCAATCTTTGGCACTTGCAAAGTGTATAATTTCATGTTCTTGTTGCACACTATTGATTCATTGAGAATTTTTCTGTTCTGGGTTTTTGGGTTTTGTTGAAATTAATCCACTTTCTTTGTGTTTTGAATTGGACCAATTTTTGGTTAAATCGGTTGTCATTTTTCCTTGTGTTGGCTTTGGTTAATGCTACTATTGAATTTTCATCAATTGTATTCATTTCTGGCATTGAGACAAGGAGACCAATTCAACTAATTATAGTCCTCATTTTTTTGTTAGAGATGATGTTTTATTGCTTCACTGGGGATAAGGAATCAGAATGTGATGAATTATGTATTAGTTGAATCCCATCTCTCCTTTCCAGTCCATCGGGAATCATGGTTTCTGCTAAACCCTAAATCCTCTTGATGTTAAGCCTTTTGTCATTTCCATATATCTCTTCGACACTAACCCAATCATTTCTCTACCAGTTATAGTTCCTTAATTATCGTCCTTGACTTTAATGTGTCTACTTGAACACCATTATCTCCTCCCCTGTAACCTACTAAAATGTTTATTGTATCTTAAGTTCGACTTGATAATGTGGATTTTTTATGTGTCTTAGATAATGCAAGTTTGAGGTGAACTTTGTTTTTGGTTGATTGCATTCTGCAGTAAGAAACTCATGAATTTTGATTTATTGCATTGAATTTCTGACCAATTTCTTACTTTATATTTACTTGCTGGAATTCATGAAATGAAGTTTGTTCTTGAAAAATAAAATTTAATGCTAGTCTATTTAATGGATTTCTATTAGAGCATGTTTAGTCCGTCTTTGTTGTTAGTAATTATGGCTGTGTTTATCTTTGAATTTTGATAGACAAATTACCTCTTTCTCGCAGCATTGTCACAGTACTTATTATTTATTTCTTTTGCATCTTAGTTTATATTTCATATTGTATATCATGTCCATGAGTTAGGAGTTGGGGATTTTTTATTGGAAATTATGAGTATGCAACATTATTTTGTTAGAGATGTTATGTAATGCATATCATGTGTGAATAGTGAATATGAATCTGCCTTCTACACATGTTTAGTGCTTGTAAAACTCAAATAAAGTGAAACCATGAAGGGTAATGGGTGAAATTAGTTACAGTGATTTGGTCTTTAATTCAAAATTTGAAAGAAATGATTTACTGAGTTGAAATGTATTGGTTAATTTGGTGAAGGTTTGATTCATCAAGTTTTTAACTACTCAAGGGTCTATTTGGGGTTGGGTGAAGAAGATCAAGTGCCGATGACACCAAAATCGATTGTGTTTTGTAGTGGAACTGGTTTTGGTTGAAGGTTCTAGAGGGGGTTTCTTGGTGGTTTTGTCCATAACAACCATATGAAGTCTCTGCATACAACAATCCTCACCATTTGTTAGTAATATATTTGTTGGGTTTGGTGGTTTTGAGGAGTACATTCAGATTTAGATGGAGTTTGTAGGGCAAAGTGAGGGTATTATGGTGTTTTTGGTTGGGAAGGAAGTGCAAGAAGCCTTTGAGACATTTAGTGTTGAGCTATTGTGGTAATAGCTTTTGTGGTTACAAATTTTAGGTGATATTATCATTTCAGAAATGAGGTTCTCTTCTGCTGGTTTCACTCAGCAGTCTCCTGAAGGTATATTTCTCTGGGTTCTTTTTTTGTTGTTGTTGAATTTCAGTCTTTTTCCCTGTTTTCCTGGTTTGGAGATCTTTTAGTGTCTAGTTCAGCTGCAAAATATTTGTTGTTGTATCTTCTGGTTCTGGTTTTTTTTTTTTTCAGGAGGGGGGGTTATTTGTTGAATTTCTGTCATTTCCCTCTACATTTCACACATCTTTTCCCTTTCTATTTGCCAAATCCCTCTGCAAATCCTTGAACCAAGCACAACGTTTGTCTAGTTAAGCTACAAAACATTGTTGTTAGACTGATTTCTTGTTAAAAAATTACATTGATAATCTGCAAGGGAGAAAAGATGTCTGAATTTTGAACTTTGGCGTGCATATGAAATAAAGTCCCAAAGTCAATCCCAAAAGATCAAGTCAAAATCCCCAAAAAGTAGGCCCAAAACCGGACTAAAATCTGGAAAAAAAGTTTGCATGGGTCGACCCTATGAAGAAAATTAGGTTTGACAGCATGCAAGAGGGTCGACCCTTTCCCAGATTGGTGTCTACCCTATTTTTCAGCAACCAACACACAGACATAAGAGGGTCGACCCTCTGTAGTCTGGTGTCTACCCTACTTTCCAGCAACACTTCCAGAAACCTCACCAATAGGTAAGGGTTGAGCCTTAGGAAGGCTGGTGTCGACCCTAGCATAGAATTTCTAAGTTTCCAAGGAACTTTTGACAAGAACAAGTGCGAACAACCAAACCCAACAAGTTTAAATCGGATTATACTCCTCAAAAAAAAAAAAAAAAAAAAAAAAAAACGACACAC